GGGGGGGGGGGGGGGGGGGGGGGGGGGGGGGGGGGGAAGAGTATGGATACATGATGAAGACCGATTGTCAAACGTGCGCGCAAATGGTGGAAATCGCGCACCGCACCGCACCGCACCGCACCGCATCGCACCGCAGCGACGATGCCGCACGTCAAGCGGCATAAGGGTAGCCGGTCTTTTTGGCTTCAAAGTCGACCATCTCAAAGATGCCCAGAGCTTGGAACCAGCAAGCGTGCTCCGACGCCGTCTGCTTGGCCGTGTACTCTGCCTCCTCGTCGCTGATCTGCGTTGGTCTCTTGCCGTCCCTGGCCGATGCAGCGTCCGCCAACAGCTGGACTTGGCAGTGACGCTCCAGAGCGATGAATCTGTGCACAGCCGACTCGATCTCAAGACGTGGAAAGAAAAGGGGTGATCAGAATGTGTCGCTTTCGCCTGCCTGCCTGCCTGCCTGCCCCGCCACCCACATTGCGACTCACCGTCTTGCCAGCGGTCAGAATGCCGTGATTGGCCATGATCAAGGCGACATTGTCCTTTCCCAGCGCCTCTGCAATGTGCTGGCCTTCCTCTTCCGATACGGCCACACCTCCAAACGAATCGTAATGAGCGCACCTCTTGTAAAACACGCAGCTGTCCTGCGTAGTGATTTCAATGTTCCTTCCCAGCGTGCTGAACGCCTTGCCGTACAAGGAGTGACTGTGGCAAGCAGCATCCACCTCGGGTCTGGCAGTGTGAATGGCGTGATCTGCCGCGGCGAGTGGGAGTGGGAGTGGGAGTGCGGGTGCGGGTGCGGGTGCGGGTGCGGGTGAGCTTGCGCATTGAGACGCGATGCAAGGCAAGGTCAGGCATGTATGCGCTCACGAATGGCAAACGCTGCGCGATTATAAACTTGATTGTCCGGCTTGCCACCGAGGATGACCTTGCCGTCGTGCGCTACGAGGAGCAGGTCGGAAGCCTGCATGAGGCTGAATGGGCGCGCAAAGGGGGTGACCCAGAATGCGTTGGTGATGATGGGATCCCTGTAGGTCAAGTGGCCCGCCACTCCCTCTTCGAAGCTGGTTTAGACATGCAGCGGGCAGGGGGGCCGAGAGTGATGAGCGCAAGGGGAGAAGAGCAGCGATACGTCATCATGTCTGGAGTGACGGCGGGGAGGGAGTGCTGCCTGCTGCTGCTCACCCAAGCCTGCCAAAGACGCGGTAAGCCATGGCCAGACGCTGCTTTCTGTGCTCTCGCTCCGCTTCTGCATCTTTGAACTGGGCAGGCAGGCAGGCAAAAAGTCAAAAAATGAGCGGTGGACGCAAACACACGCGGGGCATTCCACCCCCAACGCACCTTTGGAGGCTCGCTGAACTTGAAAGTGGGGACAGGAGCATCAGCGCGAGGTTGCTGATCGTTCTGAGCATGCGGATGAGTTTTGGCCTGCACTGGGGCAGTGGCAGTGGCGTTGGTGGTGGGCGCAGGGACCATGGTGGATATGGGGTACGGTACGCTGCTGGATGTTGCGTGTGCGTGTGTGCGTGTGCGTGTTGCGTGTTGGGTCTTGATGATTGCTGTGCGCCGTGCCGTGCCGTGCCGTGCCGTGCACTCGGATGATGGTGGTTGAGAATCACGAATGTGGAGAGGCGCGCAGCGAAAGCTCAGATGTTGTTGCTGGCGCACACACACGAATTTGTTCATTGTGACTGTGACTGTGACTGTGACTATCACTATCACTCACACTGTCTGACTCAAATTGAGCTTTAATTTGATGGCTATGCTATGCGATGCGATGCGATGCGATGCGGGGTTGGCCTGGCTGCCGAGCAAGCGGTGTGGGGACGGTACACGGTAGAAATACTTTTTAATTATTATTCTTGATTACTCTTGACTCGTGACGGTGACTGCTCTGGCTCTGTTCATGCAGGGACGCACTGCTGACAGCATCGTGATTTGTCTATGCATGTGCACTCACTGCCCGCCCGCCTGCTGCAGATATATTGTACTCCACTCCGACTCGTGACTCGTGACTCTGCACGCCTGCGTGCGTGCATGCGAGTCCGTGCGAGCAAGAAACGCGCGCGCCCTGCTCTGCTCTGCTCTGCTCTGCTCTGCGTGGCCTTGATTTCATTCACGATTGTAATGAATCACGTGAATGGGACAAAGGGGGGGGGCGGGCCGCGGTGGATCGTGACTTCTCTCTGCAGCATCGAGCCGCGGTGCGTGCGCGCATGGTGTCCATCCAATATTAATACAGTCGTGAGTATGCCCCGCCCGCGCTGCACGAGATGGACAAAAGAGAGTCAATCAGTCACTCGGTCGCAAATCAAGCACAAGCACATCATTCACATGATGATGATCGAATTAGCAAGAATCACGTACACTTGGAGAGGAGCGAAGGCGAGGGTGAGGATCGTGGCTGCGGGGCACGAATCGCACATTTGTCTCGAGCGTGAATGAGAAGGAGAGGAGACCCTCGAGAGTCTCTGTGGTTGAGGTGAGTGTGTGTGAAGAAGGAGTGGTGCTACTGGTGCTACACGGCGACAAGTTTTGACGCGAAGAAGAGAAGCTAGGAGTGGGAAAGGGCGCGATGAGCGAAGTTTTGCTTGCTCGATGGCTGGTCTGGCAGGCATGCTAGCAACCGATTGGATGATCCGGCACAGCCTGCTCGAGTCCAGCTCGAGCGTGGGCTTGATGGATGGATGGTGCGTGCACGATGGGATACGATTGCGACGGTTGAGAGAGACCGATTGTTTCCTTGTCGTTGTCCTTGTCCTTGTCCTTGTCGTTGGCTGGCTGTTGCACCGCTCGCTCTAATCACATCACAATCCCTGCTCCCTCAGCATCTTTTTCATGTCCACATTGCTGCACTTTGGCGGGTTGAGAAAGAATGGCGGCATCTTCTTCCCGCTCCTCTCCATCGCCCTCGTATCCAAGCCGTACGCTTGCCAGGCATCGTGAGCTGCTTCCACCTTGGCCATGTGTTTGGCCTTGCGAGCCGCCTTGGCGCGCGCCAACAGGGATGGGCGAGAAGGGTTGGAATTGGAGGCAGAAGCAGAGGCAGAGGCAGAGCCAGAGCCAGAAGAGGCTTCGGAAGACGAGGATGCCACAGGGCTAGCGCGCTATCGCAGAGCAGAGGGCAGCGGCCAGCCAAGTTAGTGCGAGCGCGAAATGTGGACGACGACGCAATTGCAACGCGCTGCGCTGCGCTGCGCTGCGCTGCATCCATCGGCCAAACTCACCTGATCTTCCTTGGTCAAGCTGTCGTAGGAAGGGGGCAAGTGCAGCAGATGGCCACGCTCCTCATCGTCGCGTAGAAGCTGAAGCACCCATCCCCTTTCCTCATCCGACTCGTAGCCCATTCCACCGCTCTTTTCATCCTTTTCAGTGCCAAAAGAGGTCATCTTGCTGCTCTTGCTGCTCTTGCTTGTGCGCGCTTCGTAAGCTGGCGCCATGGGGGAAGCGGATCTGCTGGATGCGCGCGCGCGCGCGCCCTGCTGGCTCTTGCTCGGAATGGCAGAGTCGGATGCAGCTACGGATGGTGTGAAGGAATCGTTGCAAGACATGGCGTCGTCGTCGTCGTCGTCGTCGTTGTCGTCGTCGTCCTTGTTGTTTGCGACGCTGCTGCTGTTGCTGCTGTCGTCGCGTTGACGTCGAGGAGGCGCGCGACTACCAAATGGCGATAGGCGAGCAGCGCGAGAAGAGACTGGAGCGATGAGGATGGTGGAGAACATTTGCGCCTCGTCGGTTGGACTGGCGATGGCAGTGGGACTGGCAGGTGCAGTGTGACTTTGCGCGTGGGTGTGGGTGTGAACAGTCAAGCCGAGGCGAGCAGCTGAGGATCTCCTCCTACGCTGAGCAGCGTGAAGAGATGCGGTGAAGCGAGGTGAGCTAGGTGATCGGGGAATGCAAGATGATGATCCTGTCGATGTTGTTGGTGTTGCTGTTGGTGTTGTTGCTGCTGCTGCTGCTGCTGCTGCTGCTGCTGCTGTTGCAATGCTGTCGCAAGCGATTCTAGTCAAATCTGGTTTGTGTAGGAAATCCAGAGATCCGCTCCTTCCCCTCCATTCCTTTCTTAAATGCTTTTGCGTCGATGACGACGACTTGGGCGAAGCGTGCGTGCGAGTCATGATGAAGCAGTAATGAGGTGCAGTGTGTGTGTGGTGATCAGGTGGGGATGGGGTTGGAGGGCGAAGATTGATAGGTGAAGTGCGGAGCAGCAAAGTGACAGTGGCGCACACGTGTCGTGTCGTGGATGAGGATTGGATGGATGATGGAGCTGACGCTGGCGATGGCGATGTGGGCAGGAGCGTGGTGATAGTGCGCGCTAGACGGGGCGAGGGCGTGGCCGCGGGATTTATGAGCTCAGGCTAGGCTGATGTCGATCACTGCCGCATCTGCTGTATATAGGCATCGCTGCGATGAGCTTGGTGATGGGTTGGGCGGGGTCCTTGCATATATGCGCCTGTGACTGCCACTCAGTGACTGCGACTGTACTGTATGTGAACGCAGACTCGTTGAATACAGACGCCCGCGGGTGTTGCATGTTCAGCAGCAGCAAGCAGCGCGGCGGGCATGGGCATGGGCAGAGGGAGGACAATGTGAATGTGAATGTGAGTGAATAGCTTTCTCGTATCCATCTCTGTCTCATCTTCGATTGCTCTTGTCGGCGCAGTGCCAGTCACTGTCACGATCGAGCAATCACAATGTTTCGCATCGCAAGGCGTCGTCGATTGACTCACGATTCAGCTGTTGATTGCGCCGCTCGCTCGCTCGCTCGCTCGCTCGCACTTCATCAGCCACTCGCAGATCGCAGATGCCATGATGTGCGGCGCGTGCAACACCGCGGCTTGATTTCCTTTCCCTTTGCTCATCCGTACAGCTCATCATCATCGCATTCCCGCGCGCGTCTTTTTCGGAGATTTTCCATTGTGATTGGCGATTCCGCAGTCCGACTCGCATCTATCCTTGCTCTGATCACCGCCTTGCTCTGGAGGGGGCCAGCCAGCCAGCCAGCCAGCCAGCCAGCAGCGGCATGATACAGTAAGTATCCCATGGCCGGTGTGTGCGGCGTGGCACGTCCACCGGATCCCTCCTACTGCGTGACTGCATATATGCTATGCTATAGCAGCTGTCAAAGGAAGAAGCTGTGGCATGACGAGCTGATCATGCTGGGGCATCTGGACGGTGATCTTGAGTTCAGTGCAGGGTGAGCGCAGCATGTCTCTGGCCGACAAAGGGAACACACGTCGACGAATTGCGCGCGTGCACAGAGTCCAAGAGTCGTGCGTGACTCGTGACTCGTGACTACTCACACTGTATCTATGCCCATGCAGCATGGATCAACCGAGCTGCACCTACAAGCCACACGCAAGCCACACCGCGGTCGCTGCGCCGCGGACGCGTGCGGTGCGGTGCGGTGCGCGGCTCGACACGACAAGAGCTCGTGGATGTACAGCAGTATACTGTAGGCGCAGGCGTGTGCGTATGCGTACGCGTACGCGTGTGCGGCCCTGATGCTGGATCAGCATGCGCGGCGATGCTTCACGATTCACGATTCACGATTCACGATTGCATGGCCTCATCTCCTCTCCTTTGACCTGAAAAAGTCAAGTTGGGTGAGGTGCGTGCGTGCGTGCGTGCGTGCGTGCGCACGTGACGCTGTGACTGAGCAAAGGGTACCGCACAGCCGAAAGCTCTCGTGCGAATCGGATCTTGAACACATCTCCATAGCTCGAATAGGAATCTTGATTCGGAACACGTGACGGTCCAGTCCACGCACAGTCAGAGTAAGTAGTCAAGCGTAGCGGCGGGTGCTCAAAAGTTAAATTGGCGCGACGCGTGTGGCGCGCATGATATACAGCGCAGCTGGTGGGGCAGGCACTCACTCACTCATGCACGCGTCGCGCAGACAGGCAGGCATCACGCGCGCGCGTGTGCAAGTGTGTGAGATGCGCACACGCGATCGAGATGCGCACGCGCTTGCATGCCAACACTCGCGACGCACGCACGCACGCACGACTCAAATTTTTTCGACGGCGACGAACGACGCGGCTGTTGGATGCAGTCAGCAGATGTGATGCTTGGTGGTGGGCAGATGGTGTTCATGTCCACATACACGTACACATTCACATTCACATGCACATTCACATTCACATTCATCGCCAGTAGCAAGAGCGTTGCGCCATGAAGTACATTGTCGTCTCTGGTGGTGTCATCTCCGGCATCGGCAAGGGCGTCATCGGTGAGCATCGTGGGCAGTGGGTGTGGCAGTGGGAGCGAGAGTGGCACTGAGAGTAGCAGTAGCAGTGGCAGCCCATGCACCCTGAACAGCGCTAAGTCCTTGCTCTCCTCTCCCTCTGCATCTCTCGCACGCCAGCCTCGTCGACGGGGTTGCTGCTAAAGATGCTCGGCTTGAAAGTGACGGCCATCAAGATCGACCCGTACATGAACATTGATGCGGGCACCATGGCTCCCACAGAGCATGGGGAAGTATTTGTCCTCAACGATGGCGGCGAGGCCGATCTGGATTTGGGCAATTACGAGCGATACTTGGATGTGACGCTGGGCAGAGACAACAACATCACAACGGGCAAGGTTTACAAGCAGGTCATCGAGAAGGAGGTGAGCGAGGCAGCGAGGGAGTGAGGGAGCGAGGCAGCGAGGCAGCGAGGGAGCGAGGGAGCGAGGCAGCGAGGGAGCGAGGCAGCGAGGGAGTGAGGGAGCGAGGCAGCGAGGCAAACACGTCACTCTCCACCTCATTGATTCTCCTTCTCCCCGCCTCCACACTCTCACTCTTCCCCCCCACAGCGCGCGGGCGAGTACCTTGGCAAGACGGTGCAAATCGTGCCTCACCTCACATCCGCCATTCAAGATTGGATCGAGCAAGTGGCTGCTCAGCCAGTCGATGAGACGGACGAGACGCCAGACGTGTGCATCGTCGAGCTGGGCGGCACAGTGGGCGACATCGAATCCGCTCCCTTTGTCGAAGCGCTGCGACAATTCCAATTCCGCGTGGGTCAAGACAACTTTGCCCTCATCCACGTCTCCTTGGTGCCCGTCGTGGGTGGCGAGCAAAAGACGAAACCTACGCAAGCAGCTGTGCGCGATCTCAGAGGTTTGGGTCTCGTGCCAGACATGATCGCCGCCAGGTGCGTCGAACCTCTGGACAGGAGCGTGATCAACAAGCTGTCCATGTTCTGCCACGTCGGACCCGAACAAGTCATGGGCGTCCACGACGTGCAATCCACCTATCACGTGCCCCTGCTCCTAGAACAGCAAGGCATGGTTCGCTTCTTTGAACGTCGTCTAAAACTCGACATCAAACAAGGCATCACCAAGAGCATGCAGCAGCGCGGCAACGCCCTCAAGACGCGCTGGAGAGAATTGACGCTGAGGTGAGTTGGGGGGGGGAAAGGGAGGGGGAGGGCAAGCTGCAGCCAGCCGAAAGCGTGCGCTGGCTAGCTGGCTGGCTGGCTGGCATTCCGGCGGCCACTCTTGAACTTGAGTCCATCGCTCACCCGATCGGGCTCATGCACACGCACGCACGCACGCACGCAGCCAAGATCGCCTGTTCGACAAGGTGGAAATTGTGCTCGTCGGCAAGTACACCAGCTTGCAAGACAGTTACATGTCCGTCGTCAAATCCCTGGAGCATGCTGCTATGCGGGTGCAACGCAAATTGGTGCTCAAATGGGTCGAGGCTGGCGACCTGGAATCGCAGATGGAGACGGACAATCCGGTGAGGTATCACGAAGCGTGGCACGCCGTTTGCTCCGCCTCTGGCATCTTGGTGCCGGGCGGATTTGGAAGCAGAGGTACAGAAGGCATGATCAGCGCCGCGGCTTGGGCAAGGACGAAGCGGGTACCCTTTCTGGGCATTTGCCTCGGCTTTCAAGTCGCCGTCATCGAATTTGCGAGAAACGTTTGCGGAATCAAAGATGCCAATTCTGCCGAGCTGGACAAGACTTGTCCCTCGCCTGTCGTCATCTTCATGCCGGAGATTAGCAAGACGCAAATGGGAGGCACGATGAGGTTGGGCCTCAGACCAACCATCTTTGGCAAGGGCACTGAATCGTGGAGCAAGATTCGCAAATTGTACGCGGGAGCGCCCATCGTCTGGGAAAGGCATCGTCATCGCTACGAGATCAACCCGGAATACGTAGAGAGGATAGAGCGCGGAGACCCTGCCGCTTCGCCTCCTCAAACTCCAGCTGATGCTGGGCGCAGACCAGGCACACCGCCCATTCAATCTGGTCCGAGAAGCCTACCCACCAGTCCGAGCTTGGGCTCTGATGGCGTGCCTTGCATCTTGCCAGCTTCCAAAGCGCCTGGCGAGGGAAGTCGGGATGTGCTAAGATTCATCGGAAGGAGCGAGACGGGGGACCGCATGCAGATCGCAGAGATTGCCAATCACCC